CATTCAGATAAAAATTACCTTTGACATGCAGTGTTGCTGAATCAAAATCCCGGAAATGGGACAATTATGCGGACGATACAAATGGATACCGCTTTCTTGATCTTCCTTAGAATCAATATGCCAAAATCCAATATTCCCAAACTTATTCCCAACCGCAATCATATTCGAACTAGTACAGGGAAAAAACTTCACATTCATAATCCTCCCGGGCACAACCCTCGCGACATTCTCCGGTTTTAGAGTCAAAGACTCCAACTTTAAACTACACATTTCATTTTCTTCCTTCTTAACAAAACCACGAGTAAACCCACCAATCCCCTCCCTCAAAGGCACCATCTTCACACCAATTTCAACTTCATTTTCTTTCTTCCTAATTGAAAAGCCCGAACTTTCAACTTTTCCACCTTTAAATCCGCCATTTTCGCCTTTAACTCCACCTTTCTCTGAAGCGTCCAATTGGGACTTCTTCGAAATATCCAGAATTGCTTCGATTAGAGCTCGATCTGACACTCCTCTGTAAGCGTCTTTCATGCTAAGAGGACCCATATAGCAAGGCAACCCCTTCGACGGGCTTGAAGATTTCATGGTTTTGGCCATGGATTCGAGAGCCTCATCGCTTAGGCCGTTCGCATCTGGCGGTAATCCGCGCGTGCGTAAAGACCGCCTCATGACAATTGGGGTCTGGGTTTTGGGTTGTTTCTTCGGACTGACTTTGTACGATTTGATCTCAACCCTAGAATTAAAACCAGAAATTAGAAACGGGTTTTCAAGAAAATAGTAAATTTAGAGAGAGAGAGAGAAAGAGAGAAAGAACCTTGGGCGTTTGGTTGAGGCGGAGACTTGGGCTTTGATGGATTGGAGTTTGAGGGAGGCCATCTTTTCGTCGTTCAGGCGGATGTTCTCGAGCCTCTTGCGCTCGTAGTCTGTGAGCTTCTCAGACGCCATTGGAGAGTATTGCAACGATTAGAGGCAGAGAGAGGGAGAGAGAGGAAACTGGAGAGGGAAGGAGAGACAAGAGGCCGTTCACGGCGGGTGGGTGGGGTATATATATGTCATTTGCTAATTGACCCGACTATTGGCGGGAAATGAAACTGGCGGGAATGAAATTACACCAAATCTGACACGCGGCCCAATCACGGCATCACCTCTATCCTTGTGCTTTTAAGAGGCCCAAACCTTTTTAAACGACAGATGACATCTGTTAGGGTTGCGCGATTATGATTTCTCACCTACTCATCAAAATTTGATACTTTCTTGTTTAAAAAAGTAATCTTGAAAATTACACAAGTCGGAGTACAAACTCAAAGTTTTCTCCCATAATGAAAACTATTCATTTTCCTCTTCGTTTGAGTAATGGGGAAGGGAATTGAAACTAAAATACAAGGGTTCATTTGGAAGTTTTTTTTTTTTTTTTAATATGCATTATTATCTACACTAAAGAAGAGGAATGAACTTACGCTGCTAGCAATTATGTGGTATAAATTCACCTTTGACGATAATCAAACTTAAAACCTCCCACTTAAAAGTGAAAATGAATACCACTAGACTGTAGTACTAAATGACCGTTTAGAATTGTTTTTAAAATGACTAAAAACGCGTATAAATAGCGTTTATAGGTTACAAAAGCACTTAAAGTGCTTCCTGCAAGAAGCATCAGTTATGTACTTGTAAAAAACACTTCAAATGCTTTTCTAAAATTCACTTGTACTTTTAATAAAAATTGGTTCCATAAACATCTTCAATCATTTTAAAAACAGTTCTAAACAAGCCCTAAGTTAGTAAAATGAACCGAATCATGTATCATATATATATAGACACGAGTAGACTAAAATCAATTTGATTATCGTTGGGCAAAACAGCTCATACGAAACCCTAATAAAACGCCAGGGAAACTGCTAGTCTCCCAAAGGAAACACAATGCCAACAGAAACACAAACTTCCTGTCCTAGTACATACCACATGCAAACATAAATCGACAGTTGAAGCAAGAGTTGTAACATGAACCAACCTGGAAAATGAGATGAACGATAGCACTGAGTAGCAAACACGACAAGTTTAAAACCCAGCATGAAAACCAAGTATTCCTTCGTTCAACTGTCCCCTAAAATATATCTCATTCCGAACTAAACAATCTTCATAACCAAAAGAGGGTGTAGTGCTCAATGATGAATCAGCCCGGGAAAATAACAAATCTCAACTTGGAAAGCAATTTGACATCCACACAGAAACCAGAAAATCCCTCCCTAGTAGTCACTGGACTCCATCAGTCATATATCCACCGTAAAAGACACTTCTTTAGAACACCACCAAGACAGAAGAAAAACTATTTTCATTCCCAATTACATGGCTCAACATCAACATAACTATAACCACAACGTATCCAAGCAACAACAAAAACATTGAACTATTTTGACCAGAAAATCTTAGCAACACACTAATATGCGTAACCAAAACCTTAAGGATTACTGAGGCTGGGTGGAATCATTGCCACTATCTTCCAAATTCTAAAAGCAATCAGAGAGTACAAAATGAACTACCCATCACCTCATCAAGATTTACGAGGCAAATGCAACATACCAAATCACTCATCCAAACAAGCACATCACTAATCAGGACAATCCGCAATCGAATCAAATTAAGCAAGACCCAAGTATGACATTAACAAAACATATCGAAAACAGAATAAAAGCATTTGTGGTCATGATTCAGATTGAACTCAGCTAAATTCAAAAATTGGTACTACCCAATACTGAAAATACAATTAAACTACAAATAAAATAGCAATTTCATAAAGCAATCTCCGCAACGGGACTCTATGGAAGTTCCCAATTTGATTAAACATAAAAAGTTTCCATCTGTTTCTCAGAATTAAAATCTTGACAACCACATGGCAGATATAGAGTAGCGGGTGATCCACCTCAGAACCCGAGCTTGGTCCGGCGCCAGTGCCTGCGCTTAGCGTTGTACCTGAAGCACACCACGCCGTATTAGAGCCGGCGGAAGCAATTTCCAAGAACAAAATCTAAATGTAAAAAATAGTTAAACAAAATCAAATGGGGTCTCTTTAATTATAACCTGATGGTGTTGTCGGTCCTCATGCGGATCCAGTGAGGAATGGGTCGGTTCTGCCTCATCTTCTTCGCCAGCTTCTTCTTGATCATGAAAGACTTGTGTGACGGCTGCAAATCCAACGGCCGATATCAAATGTCAGAAGAACAAGACAGAAGTCAACGAGTAGAAGATGCAGTTAGACAGGGAGAGAGCTGGCTTACCATCTTCGCTGCGGTAGCTCGGTGAACGGAGGAGCGCCTTGCAGACAAAACCCTAGCAATAGAAACCCTAATTGCCAAATCTTGTAATTTATAGTTTATAACGTTGGGCTTCGTTGAACAATTGGGCCTGCTTGAGATTATGGGTTTTATGGCCTATTGGATCGTATCTAAGCATGGGAATTTCGTAGGCCCATTTATTGAACTGGCTTACACGGTCCAATATATATATATATATATATATATTTTTTTTTAACAATCGATATTTTTTTACATTAAGGGGGAGAGGTGGGCTTAGCCTCATAATAGGCTAGCAATAATGTGGTTCAAATTCGGTATAATTATTGAAAAAGAATACAACTAGACCGTAGTACTAAGTGGTTACACGGTCCAATTAGTTTAAGAAAAATCTAAAAAGTTAAATTGAGGATTGGTTTTTTTTTTTCAACTAATTCGGGATAAGTCAGGTTTTTGATTGGGGAGAGTCTAAATTTCACCAAAATACTTAGAATTGATACTGTTAATAAATTGTCTACTAATTCACATGATTTGAAATAAGTTTGGTTATTGATATTCAAGTTTCTAAATATATTGTTCTAAACTACACACATTTGAAATCGAAAAATATGTGTTGTACTTTAAAATTTTGTTTTAATATACAAGTCAATTAGGGGATTTAGTTTATTCAATTTTTCTTTCTTTACTTTTTATATTCCTAAGTTTTCCGAATTTTTAATCTTTTAAGTTCTTCGATTTCTACTTTGCTTGTTCATGTTAAGTAAGCCTGTTTAAGTTGCATGGGTTCTATTTGTGTTTTTGCCTACAATGTGGCGTCTCACTCATTAATACGGTTTGTGAATCTAACTATTTGTAAAATTTTATTAAATATTTATGTACAAAATATAACTGCTGATTTTTTGTATAACTCAGTAGTATATATTATGGAGTATATTGAAAGAAAAATTGATGAATATGATTATTAATAAACACAATTTGAGAAAAGGAAAATAGTAGTAGGGTGTGTGGAGTACAGAGAAATATGATAAAGAGACGCTTAAGAATGTGACTTTTGCGCTTTGTCACTTATTTTTTTTATATACAATAATATTGATACGAAAATTTATATTAAATTGTAAAGTTACAAAAAATCCGAGAATAATTCATTAACACCATGTTTGGACGAAGAAATTTAAAATTACTAAGGAATTTTAAAATGACGGAAATTGAATTGACGAAATTTTATTTTTTAGAATTTGTGAATTTTTTTGTTTGGTTAACCTAAAAGAAAAATGGAATTGAAAACGAAATTTGTTATTTTTAAGTTTTCAATCATAGAATTAGGAAATGACACATATTTACATGGAATTTAAACTTGGGAATTGGAGGTCCCAAATTCCAAGTTCTTTTCCACGCGGAAATTCTAAATTTCTATATTTATGAATTCAAATACGAAAATTAATGCACGTCAATTTACAAATTCTAATTTTTAGTCAAATTCTAAGTTTATTTATCTCATTCAATCATAGTGTAACATTTCTCATTAAATTCCGAAGGGTAATCAAACTTGTTATCATCCGTGCCGTAACGGGCCTGTACAAATCACTTTGTCGCTTCTGAAACCGGCCAACCCGCGCACGGAAATCCATACAAGCAGTGACAAAATTCCAAAAACACCCCAAATCGCATAGACCCAGGCCACGCTCTAATCCGCGCGTGGTCTTAGTCACCCGCCCCCCTACAGGACTGCCGCAACCATCTTCTTCTTCTTCCGTTTTACTGTCTTCCAATCCAAACGCCTATAAAACTACCCACCCCCTCTCCCTCTCGCTCTCTCTCTCTCGCCATCTTTTCGAATTCGAATCATCGTGCTTCCCAGCGATTGAATCGACGGCTGTGATTGACTGTTCCAATTCAAAAAAGCACAATGCCTCGCGCTTCTAAGAGAAAAGCACCTCCACCAACTTCGCCTTCCCTCGCGTCCTGCGACGTCGTTTCGAAGCGCGCCGGTATCTCGCTTTCCTCCGATTCTGATTGGTTTCCGATAAAAAAAACCCAGAGAAAAAAAAAATTAAAAATCATGTATTTTTTATGTAGAAAAATAAAATAAAAATCATGAATATCAGTAGGCAGCTGAGTTAACTTATGCAGCTAGGAAAGTAGCAAAAGCTATATTTTATTTTGTTCATGAATTTATTTAATTCGGCATCCAGTAAGTATTCGATTTCATTTGTTTTGGATTGTGTCGTAATTTTATTTATTTTGAATTTTGAATTTTTTATGCAATTTTTTAAATTTCAGTGTTTCTGTGTGTTTGAATTTTGAGGAGCAGAAGAACTATGATATTTCTCAGACCATCTGATATATTGTGAATTTGAAGTGTTGAATTGTGAAATTACTTTATCACCCTTTGCTTGCCTTTGAAGAAGTGCTTCTGCTTGGCCTCTGGAATTTGGTAGACTGTTGTAAGATTTCATCACACTTTATATAAAATCTAGGCCGTTGATTTGATTTTACAAAACTCATAATTTATGTTTTAAGAAGTAATAGATACATGGATTACTTAGAGCTAACGGAAGACTTGGCGCAAAAACGAGCGCAGTGGTGTTCTAAAATTCATAGAGCCGACCCCACTTAATGGCATAAGGCTTTGTTGTTGTTGATCAAATTACAATTGTTCGGTTTAAGTATTTACAGAAGATTATCCTTGTAATGTTGGTGGAAATTATAATTCTATAACAATTTGTTTTGTTTTTCTGGATATTACTCCCACCATGTAGAAAAGGTTGAATTTACTTGTCTCTGATGTGCATTTGATGTTGTAATGTTATTCAGCAACAGGTAAAGGCAGACCAAGAAAGGATGTAGACAAAATAGATAGCCTCTTTGAATCGTATGCAAACCAGTCGTTAAACATGATTGAGTAAGTATACCGTGCCTGGATAAGCGTGGATTTATGAAGTTTCGGTAAATTCCAGTATAATAAATATGCATTTGTCTGAATGTTGTTTACCTTCTTGCTAAACTCTTTATGTTTAATTGAATAGCCCAACAGGAATCGAGGCTCTTTGTTCGGACTTGAAAGTGGACCATACCGATGTTAGAATACTGATGCTTGCTTGGTAAGTTGGTATGTTAATTATGTTTGCTGTGTTTCTGTATACACGCTTCAATTCATTTATCTTTTAACCTCATTGAATTTGATTGATGCATGACTCAGGAAAATGAGAGCTGCAAAGCAGGGCTACTTTTCAAAGGTAAGACATAACTGTATAATTGAACTAGGTTATTCATATCTTCTAGTTTCCCAATTGGCATGCATGGTTTGGTTGTAATGCATTCATGTTTGTATTTTTGCGATATGCTCTACAATATTGGATGATGCACTAACTAATTATGTGTATACTGATCAGTATCCCTTATTCGTAATATATTTTTCTTATGGTTTTACAAAGAAGATGCTTTCATTAGGAAACCACCCAAAGTACGACAGCCTCATACTGAAATTTAAGTTTTGGTATACCCTAAGTGAAAGCAAAGGAGTTACTTATGTTATGTCAGAACAATTCGCAATTACAGCTTAGGAGATACAATCAGAGGCAGTAAGAGATATGTAATACCACAATTAGGAAACAGAATATACTTCTTTGTTCAGCTGGTCTTTGAGAATTCTGTCCGGTATGTGGCCTTTTCAGTGAAGAAGGCGACCTGGTGGACTAAGACTAACTTAAAAAACTTAATTAAGAATTTTGAACGTGTGCAGAGTTTGCTCTAATTGTTGAAGGTCCCTGGAATCTTCACTGTTGTCTTCTAGCATTACTTCATAAGTACTTGTATTCTAATTGTCATTTCCCTTTTCCGTTTTCCTCTTTCCTGTTCTTCTAATTAGGATGAGTGGCAAAGAGGCTTGAAAGATCTACATGCTGACACTATCCCTAAATTAAAGAAAGCACTACCGGGATTGGAGAAAGAGGTAATCATGCTTTCTTTATTTTTTTATATTTCTTGGAGTCACGTGGAATCGTTATTGAGGTGATTTGGTTCATAATACTGTATGCTGCTTGAAAGCCAGAAATATTCACTGGTACTAATCTTGCTTTCTTTGTTCGATAAGTTGACAACAGCGTCCAAATTTGAAGATTTCTATGCTTTTGCATTTCAATACTGCTTGACAGGTGAGCTTGTCTTGACAAGTCTTTTGATAAGAACCTTTTTTTTTTTTTTTTTTTGTGGAAATATCTGTCTTGACTGTCTGAAATTGTTTAATTTTCAGAGGAAAGGCAAAAGAGTGTAGACATTGAGACTGTGTGTGAATTACTGAATCTCGTACTGGGTCCTCGATACCAGCTCCAGGTTGATTTATTGATCAAGTATTTGAAGGTATGCTCCTGTGTTGGTTGTTCCTGTGCCATTTTCTTTGAAGCAATTCCAGTAATTGAACATGCATTTGCTTTCTAAAATAAGGTTCCGTCGTTCTTTGATGACTTGAATATAACTTTTGGCAGGTCCAAACTGAGTACAGGGCACTAAATATGGATCAGTGGATGCATTTTTACCGTTTTTGCAATGAGGTAAACTTGTGTTTGCTTTTATTTTGTCCAGAAATTCCGGTTCCTATGTTGTATCTTTACATATTTTAGTTTCTTCTTCTTTGGCTTGAAATCCTAACCGTGATTTTGGGAGGCTAAACAACAGCACTCTATCGAGTAAAAGATTATCACACAGACTCTTTCCGTGTAAAATCATAAGAAAAACTACGAGTTCTGATTGTTGTTTCTTTACTTTTGGCAGATAAGTTTTCCAGACCTTAAAAATTATGATTCTGATCAAGCATGGCCGGTGATTTTTGATAACTTTGTTGAATGGGTGAGAGACAAGCAAAGCTAATTCCGGCATCCTTACATTCCCTTTTGTTAGAATACACTGGTTACTTTAAAAGGTAAAAGAACTCTCTCCTCCTAATTCTTTCCATTCCTTTTCATCGGGGGTTAATATCTTAATTAACTTAAATTGCATCCCTTATTTTCCAAGAAGAATGTTTTAGTTCTACAATGATAATTGACTTCGTTCGGTTTGGTCTATTTGCAGGGCTTGTCAAGAATTCCACCAATCGGTTCAACCAAACCATTTGTGCTTGAGGGGTTTTGTTTTCGTTTCAAATTTCATTTGGGAGGTCGTTTGGAGAGATGAGAAATGCTACAGTTTTGTGATGAGGAAATTTTGCAAGAGTCTAATTATACAAAAATGAGTTTGCAATTTGTTTTTGGGAGGTCTGTTTTTCACCGGCCGATTGGTCAAAACGTTGTGCTTGTATTATGTAATTTGTGATATTCGAAACTATAATTACGGGAAGGGGAATTTAAACTTGGGTGTTAGGAGGCGCACATACTGCCCTCTGCGATTACGTGGATCGATTGAGATGAACATTTTTCAAAATATAAGTTGAATGTGGCTCTTGATCAAGTAAAATAACAAATCTCCAATCTACTTAGATTCATACTACAGATAAAATAATTAAGGTTCATTTCAATAATCTAAACACTCGCTAATCACTCGATGAATTGATGCTTTACATATTAAACACAAAACAGTTGCGAGTTTCCAGTAGGGAATTCGATCCTTTTATCTTCTCATTCATCAAGAATCCATGACTTTGAAGCTGCAGTTTTAAAACATTCATCGTTAAGAATTTGATTTGGAAACTAAATTAAGATTAATGCAAAGTTAGGATTTCAAATTATCATGGAAAAGTGGGTCAGTTTACCTTGGGCCGAAATCTTCCAGTCGCTATCAAAACTAAGGGCCCAAAAGAAGTATCCACGAAGCCCAAGGGCCTGAGCAAACACTATCTTCGCGGCCGTGGTGAAGGCATCATCGTACGAAACCCACGTGGACCCGTTGTACGAATACACGGATATAGTGTCCACGTCATACACTACAGTTGCGCCCGATTGGTTTAGTAGCGTCTCGACTTGGTGGTAAAACAACATCCCTGCTCCTGGGCCTGGCCCAATAGCGGTGGCTCCAAAGCTGTGATTTTTCGGGTTTTGGAGCTCCCATGACCGGCCGTAGAGGGCCAGGCCCATAACCAATTTTACCGGGGGTATCCCGGCCTTGATCCATGACTTAAGCCCATATATTGAGTTTACGTTACTATTCGGGTTCAACAATGCTGCATTGGGCCCTGTGGTGTTGCTCCAAGCCCCGTTGTAGTCGTAGCACATTGGATTGATCCAGTCCAAGTACTTTTTTAGTGACGACGCCGGGTACGATCGGGGGACGGCGTCCAACAAGAAGTCGGCCGAGAAGTAAACGGCGGCGGTGAGGAGTAGCGGAGGGCGGGCCGTGGATTTGGACTCCTTCTTGAGCTCGTGGTGCCATTCTTTTAGCAAGTGGCTCAAATCCTTCATTTCTTTTGGGCTTTGAGGGAACTCCCAATCAAGGTCCAGCCCATCAAACCCAAACTTACGTGCAACCTCTATGGCAGATTGTATGAATTGTGAACGTGACGAAGCTTTTGAGGCCAAGCGAGCAAAGACGAATGGCAGTACCACGCCGTCTGCTGCGCCGCCGATGGACAACAGGGTCTTCACCGGCGGAGTTTTGTGGCGGAGAGTGGTGATGAAATTGGAAAGGAGCAAGGCCGTAGAATTTGGCAAGTCAAATTTGAAAGTGACATTATTTGGCACAAGAAAAGCATAGAAAATGTGGGTGAAGAATGATGTGTTTATGGCTGAAGGTGGGAAATCCGGCGAAAACGAAGGATAATATGCCGCTTTCACCGCCGGTGGAACCTCGGCCGTGCAGCCGGTGTTTATGATCATCAAGGAACATAACAGCAAGAGAATATGCAAAAAGTTGTGGATTGCCATTTTTGTTACAGTAGATTATGAAGGACAACATATCAAATTCGAACTATATAAATAAAACGGATTAAGCAAAACGTTAAAAATTATGCTATATAATTAATCTAGGAAGTAGTTTATTGCTAATTTAAATAATAAGTTAAGATTAAAACAATATCACAAGAAATTCTGCCGGCCATTTAAACTTAATCTGTTTTAAAATATAAAAAGGAGGACTCCGTCTCTTACTGATTGGAATGAAATCTGAGAAGTTGATTTAAGTGTATTTCATGTTCACATGTGTTCGTCTGGGAACAATGCAGGCCGAAATTTAGTTTTTTACTCCAATGTTTTGTTTTTGTTGTATAAAATAATCGTGTAGGCGAGGAGAGTTGAGGTTTCACCATAAAACCAATCGGACATATCTCTTCTCTTCCGATGTGAGATTCAGTAGAACAACAAATTGGCATATACTTGGTCATTTCATTGACTAACACCTTATCAGTTTTTAGATTTTGATCAAAGTCCCTATCATTAATATATTAATGAATTACATGTAAGTTACATAATTTTTATAAAAAAAAATTAGTAATTGATTTAGAGTTTTAATACTCACACCCTTATTAAACTACTAATTAATTTTCAATTCAAACATTTCCCAAATAAAAAAATAAAATTAGAATAAGTTTGTACCCATTAAATTTTTATAAAAAAATTTCAATTTTTTAATCTTATATGTATCCAATCTCAAATATACCAATTTGTTAAAACTGTACCCTTTTTTAATTTAAAATGTACCCATTTTTTATATAAAATTTCATTCAATCTTTTCTCTAATCCATTTTTAAACTTATATGAATACATTCTATTTTTCGTTGATTTGAGAATGTATCCATATCAAGTTTAATAGAAGAAAATTAATAATGTTATTAAGGCTTTTTTTTGTGCTTTTGAAAAATGTACCCATAATTTGGTACAATAATTTTTTTGTTAGTTTTGATGAACGTACCCATGTGTATACACACACACATATACATACACACACACACAATATATTGGAGAGTATAATTCATCTTTAATATTTTTAATCCCATAAAATATGGTTTAATTTAAAATCTCATTAATATAAATAACTAAAAATTTTATTTTTAATTTAAAAATATAATAACCTTCATAAAAATACATTATTACATTAATGTCAGGGACTTCGATAAAAAGTTAAAAACCATCAAAGTTTCAATCAAAGAACATGGGTAGTTAAGGACCGCATCCATAATGTCCCTTTAACAAAATACTAAATCTTTAAAACTTCCAATGTCTTCCACGAGACGAAGAATCCAAAATTGCTAGAAACTTGTGTGCACTTCCTTCTCATAGACGCTTCTCATTCGCGCCCGCATTTTCACTTGAGCCTGCATTCTCATCGGGGTTGGAGTTCGGAGATCTGAGCATCATTAACCGAACAATTTCCTGGCTGCGGGGTACATATGTTGTCCACGTTGTCGTAATTTTTCACTGAGAAAGCCGTCTTTGTAGGAGTTGGAACGGCTTGAGTGTCAGATATGAGCATGGAATAAACTTCCAGCATTGTAGGCCTATCGTCGGCATTTTCCTGGACACAGAGCAGTGCCACTTGCAAGCATCTCAATAACTTACAAGAAGAAGAAGAATCGTCAAGTGACGGATCGATAAAATCCAGTCCTTTGTCCTCTTTCCATGATACATATGCCTGAAACAATTTTAATGATTTCAATCATTCATGTTTAAGTAATGGTTTATGGTCGTGACAGAAGTTTGAACCGTAGAAAGTTTCTCGAACTTACATATTCCAAGAGGTGCATACTTTCGTTCGGACCATAGTAATGTGTACTCTTCCGTCCGCTAATCATTTGCAAAAGTAGAACTCCGAAGCTGTAGACGTCGTACTTCATAGAGTATATGCCTTTTCGTATGTATTCAGGAGGTACGTAGCCACTGCATTTGCGTATAACAAGTATAAGGATATGGTCACACGCGAATAACTGATGAGAGGCAGTTTATCACTTACTATGTGCCAACAATCCGCCTTGTGTTTCCTTCGAGTTCATCCTTTCTGAAAAGTTTGGCCATTCCAAAATCGGAAATCTTAGCATTCATCTCGTCATCATGCAAAATGTTGCTAGCTTTTAGATCACGGTGAATGATTGTGAAGTTTGAGTATTCTTGAAGATATAGGAGTTCTTGAATAATGCCTTCGATGATGTGCACACGCTTTCTCCAATCCATGAAATACTGTCCGGTAGGATCTGCGAAGATGACAAATTCAAGAATCGGTACATGAAGTTCTAATGAATTGAAACAATTTTTGTTGAAAAGTAATCTGCACGTCCATAAGCTTAGACCCAATGTAAATGTTATTACCGTTATTCTAGCATGCATTCTAAAATGTAACGAGAAGCATGAAAAATTGCAGACCGAAAAGGTAGAAGTCCAAGCTTTTGTTGGGCATGTACTCGTGAATCAGCATTTTTTCTTCATTCTCAGTGCAAAATCCAAGAACAGGAACTAGATTCACATGTTGTAGTCTCGCAGTAAGTTTAACCTCATTTTCGAATTCCTGAAGTCCTTGAGTAGACGTTTTTGAAAGCCTTTTCACTGCTATTTCCTGACCTCTCCGCAACTTACCCTAAGGAAACAAGGATTAGCAAAAGAATAATTAAACACTGCTCTGCCTGTTTTGTGTGTAGATGTTCCATAAGCTTTCGGTTCCCACAGCATAAAATTATATTTAGAAAATGTACCAAATGTTACCTTGTAAACGGGGACCAAATCCACCCTCTCCAAGTTTGTTTTCAATTGAGAAGTTATTTGTAGCCGCTTTGAGACTGGAAAAGTGGTATACTTTCAGATTCGGAGCATCACTGTCAACAGCTGATGTACTAGTAGACCTTGATCTGCCTAGAACAATCATCCCTGAAACCAGAAGGAATACAAATTTCAAATGCAAATCTGTTAATGTCGATCGCTATCTCTTCATTTAATTTCTATTAGAAACAAACCATCACAGTTGAGCATATAACCTCTTGTCTTCACTAGTTCTCTCTGCTAGAAACACACCACGAAAGCTATGAGAATTACGACCGAAGTAACTGATAGCACTATTACAAGCAGTAACCGGGGTTTCTTTTCGTGATCATTTCCTTCCTCCTGAGCTGTCAATCATTAAAGCAGTTGGAAGTAAAACAATTAGATGTCTGCAAATTGCCTGTTGTAACAATTAAACTTTGTTCATGCATGCTATAAACTCGAGTTGTATGACATGTTGGAACGCATCTTAGGAAATCTCTTTGGCTTATCTTCATCGATAATTAACATTGCTTGTGGGATAAGTATTGCCTACCTGCCCGAGAAAGTGCCCAATTTTCATCATCATTGCTGACTTGAAACATATTGGTACCGAGTAGCTTCTTCGCTTTCACATATGCAATCTTAGCTCTGATGGCTTCCGCATCATCGAAATTAATCCAAGTCGATCCTACCATGCAGTAATTCAAGACATAAGTATCATTATACGCTATGAGCCCTCTGTAGCTTCGAATGTACCACTTGATGAGCTTATAGCTCATTGATCCATCTTTTGTCACAGCAAAGCCAGATGCAGGTGCCCCGATTCCATTATTGTCTTTGGGGTTTGCAACTGTCCACGCATAGCCATGGTAAGGCAAACCCAAAACCAGTTTGCTGGCCGGAAATGAGTAGTTTAACCATTGCTTTATCCCATAGTCGGTGTTAACATAGCTCGAAGGATCATATAAAGCAGCATGAGCACCAATAACATTCTCCTTTAAAGGCAGATGGTAGTCATACGCCACAACATGCGCCCAATCCAAATTCCTCTTCATAGATTCAACCGGATAAATCAACGATTCAAAAGTGGGAATATACCTAACCGCCATTGTCAATGTTAATCGTGGCAGACCAGAGTTTCTTGCCTCAGAAATCACAGCAACTCGCCACTCGTCCAGTAGCTTTTCCATATTGATCACATCTGAGGTTGTGTTAAGCCAAGCCCAGAGTAAGTCTATACCTTGAAAGCCATAACGTTTTGCCACTTCGATGGAGGACTCAATGAAAGACTTTCTATTCGAAGGGATTTCGAGCATTTTAGACAAGACTGAAAAGTTTGCTCTCTGACCCAAAATTAGCTGAGTTGTTGCTGCTTCTCCATCCCATATGGATAGGAGCGTTGTGATTGATGGGTTTTTGCGCTTGACAATATCGGTGAAGCTCGAGAAGTATTGTTCATGAGCAGAAGGGATGGAGAGCTGGTAGGTGGAGAAATTCACATTGGCAAAAGAACAAATAAGATGTGTGAACAAGGCAGAGTTTACCTCCTGTAAAGGAAAGTCGCTGCCGGTGTACCAGTAACCAGCTCGAATCCAAGTTTGTGCGGAAGAACACGAAAAATTACAAGAAACAAGGAAGATGAAGAGGATCGGGTGGGAGATATTTTTCGATACCATGGAAATAAACGCTAGCTACTTCGATTCTGTTGGAACAAGATGACTCATATATGTTAGCAATCAGGAATGTGACCCTGTTTTGTAGAAATGAAATCAAGAAGAAAATGAATGATCTCTTCCTACACAGATGAATGCAGCTAGAACGTTCAAAGAGAAAAACCCGAACTAACAAAGCTTTTTCTTCATTCATGATCTGCACACAAGTCATGTGCAAGGATATACCCGAAGAGAAGAGAATTCACACAAAACAATCACAACCCTTCATGTAATCTATCCTATAAGATAGATACAAGTGGCAATATGTTAAACTAAAACTAAGATTACATCTCAGCTGTCCAATTGGTCTATAATCCAATGGCTCACATTTAAACTTAGAAACAATAAGAAAAACACAGCACACACACTTATATTCCAACACTCCCTTGTAAGTGTTGTGCTGAAATTACTCCAAGCTTCTGTCTCAGAAATTCAAACCGATCTCTGGACAAAGCCTTAGTGAAAATATCTGCAACCTGTTCCTCTGTCTTGCAGTACAGTAAGTCAATTTCTCCATCTTGCAGTGCATCACGAATGAAATGAAACCTCCTGTTTATATGTCTTGTCTTATGATGATGCACATGATTTTTGGTTATGGCAATAGCAGATGTATTGTCACATAAGATTGTAGTTGGCTCAACCTGTTCTTCACCAAAATCCGAAAGAACAAATCTCAACCAAATTGCTTGTGCTGTGGCCTCTGCTGCACTAACATATTCAGCTTCTGCAGTAGATAATGCAACACTACTTTGCTTGACTGATGCCCACGAAAACACTCCTGAACCAAGATTAAAAGCATATCCAGATGTGCTCTTCATGTCATCCTCACTACCTGACCAATCACTGTCACAGTAGCCAATAAGCATTGCTTCATTTCCTTTCTCATATGCTATACCATAATCAAGCGTGCCTTGAATGTATCTCAACACCCTCTTAGCTGTTCCCATATGTTTTCTAGTAGGACCATGCATGAATCTTGCTAACAAGCTTGCTGCAAACATGATATATGGCCTTGTTGCAGTCAAATATAATAGGCTTCCAACAATCTGCCTATATAGACTCTCATCAGCTTGTTCACTACCATCCATTTTAGACAGTTTATCATTCACAGCCAGAGGAGTAGCCACAGATTTACAATCCTTGAAACCAAACTTGTCTAACAGTGTCTTTGCATATTTCTTCTGATGCAAGAAAATGCAATTATCAGTTCGTATCACACCAAGACCCAAGAAATGATGCAACAAACCAAGGTCAGTCATTTCATATTGTCTCATCATTGCAGTTTTGAACTCCATCAACAATTCTTGAGAATTCCCAGTGTAGATTATATCATCCACATACAGTGAAACAATAAGTATTCCACCTTTAGTAATCTTCACATATAAAGTTGCTTCACTAGGACTTCTTTGAAAACCTGCCTTGGTGAAATAGGAATTGATTTCTTCATACCAAGCTCTTGGAGCTTGCTTAAGACCATAAAGTGCCTTCTTGAGTTTGTACACCCCATCTTCCTTGTTTTTAATCACAAACCCAAGAGGTTGATCAACATAAACCTCTTCCTGCAAGACTCCATTTAAAAATGCTGACTTCACATCTAACTGATAAATTTTCCACCCTTTCTGTGCAGCCAAAGCAACCAAAGTCCTTATTGTATCAAGCCTAGCAACCGGTGCAAAAGTCTCATTGAAGTCTATACCAGGCTTTTGAGAGTATCCCTTTGCAACAAGTCTTGCTTTGTTTTTCTGAACCGAGCCATCAAGATTCAGCTTAAGTTTATAAACCCATTTGACACCAATTACTGGTTTATCAGATGGTCTATCAATAAGCTCCCATGTATTATTCTTTTCTATCATTGCAATTTCACTCTCCATTGCTTTCTGCCATGCTTCATCCTTGACAGCTTCTTCAAATGTTTCAGGTTCAAGTATACACAGATTACATCTTTCATACACTTCTGCAATACTTTTATATTTCAGAGGTGTGTGATCAACATCCTGTGGACCTGAATCAGATCTAACATGTATTTCTTCACTCTCTTCTAGTATTTCAACATCATTTTCAGAGATCTCAGCTTGACTCAACTTTGTTCCTTCAGTTTCATGTCCTCTCTCAGTGAAAGAGTCAGTAATTGGCATTTTAAGACTACACTCCTTTTGTGTATTCCAGTCCCAACAAGCTTCCTCATTGAACACCACATCTCTGGAAATAATGACTTTTCCAGAGTCAATATTGTAAAGCTTGTAGCCTTTCTCACAACTTCCATATCCCAGAAACACACATTTTGTACTAGTTAAATCAAGCTTTTGTCTCTGCTGCTCTGGAATATGTGCATAGCACAGAGAACCAAACACTTTTAGATGTTTGATTCCTGGCTTTCTTCCACTATAAGCCTCAAATGGAGTTTTCTTATCTAATGCCTTAGTTGGACACCTATTTAGAACATACACTGCAGTGTTGACTGCTTCAGCCCAAAATTCCAGTGGTATATTCTTTTCAACCATCATACATCTAGCCATCTCTACAACAGTCCTGTTCTTCCTTTCAGCTACTCCATTCTGCTGTGGTGAGTATGCCACAGTGAGTTGCCTTTCCATTCCCACTTCTTCACAGAATCTATTAAACTCAATAGATGTGTATTCACCCCCTCGATCACTTCTCAGCTTTTTCAACTTATATCCACTTTGCAATTCAACAGTGACCTTGAACTTCTTAAACACATTGAATACATCTGATTTATATCTCAAAAAATAGACCCAACACATCCGAGTACAATCATCTATGAAGGTAAGAAAATACCGATTTCCAGCTTTGGTAATGGTTTGCATTGGTCCACACACATCTGTGTGTACCAACTCCAATGGAACAGTAGCTCTACTTGTTGTCTCCCTTTGAAAAGAGTCTCTGCAATGTTTCCCAAGAGTACACCCCTCACACACATTATTAGTGGTCTTGATTTCTGGCAATCCAAGTACCATTTCTTTCTCCTGTAGTAGCTTCAGACTGTTAACATTTAGATGCCCCATTCTTCTATGCCAGATCAATGTTGACTCATTTACACTTGCTTTTAATGCAAGATGCAAATCTGTTTGGAATTTCAAAGGAAAACTTCGGTTTCCTCTCATTGGCACCTTAGCCACCAAATTTGAAAGAGAGCAATCATCATAAATTTCTGCTTTGTTATCTCCAAAAATAAGGAAATACCCGTGCTCCATCATCTGCCCTACACTTAGTAGATTCTCTTTGAGACCTGAGACAAGCATTACTTCATGTATATATATCTCCTTCCCATCTTTGTATCCACTACCAAACTTCCTTTTCCTATAACATCAACAACTGTCCAGTTCCCATTTCTACCTTGGCAGTTATGGCAGTTCTGCTCAATGTCAATGTCAATCAGTATATCTTCTCTACCAGTCATGTGGTTACTACAACCACTATCCACATACCATACATCTTCAATAGTCTTCTTGTCAACCTCATTACTTACATAGAACATAGTAGTTGTAGAAGGAACCTGAGCTGCAAAGTTTAGTTGCTGAACACCTTGAGCATTTTTCTTAGTATTACAATCCCTTGCAATGTTACCAATTTTTCCACAACAGTGACACTTAGGCTTGCCTTTAAGAAAACACTCTCCATAATGGTACTTATCACAGTGCTTGCAAGGATTTCTTCCCCCTTCTGCAGCTACAAATTGCTTTCCAGATTGGTAGACAGGCTTTTGATTCCAATTTTTGTATTTTGGCTTCCAATTCTTTTGATATCTATTTCCTTGATTTCCAGGAGAATTGACAGACTTGGGATTCACACTTAGACTCGCAAATGCCCTTTCAGTCTTGTTCTCATTATGTCTCTCCAACCTCTGTGCAAAACTTTTCAGTGAGGCAACTACCTCTTGAACCTCAATCACATCTATATCCCTTGAGTGTTCAATCACAGAGCATATAGAATCATACGCAGAAGGTAAGCTAATTAATAATTTTTGCACAATCCTCTCTCTAGATAGCTCTTCTCCATAACTTCTCATTTGATTTATCAGATCGAATAATTTTGTAAGATAAACAGAAATTGATTCACCATCTCTCATTCTGGTATACTCAAATTCTCTACGAAGACCTTGTAGTTTAACACTTCTAACCTGTTTGTCTCCATGAAATTCTTGCATCAGAATATCCCAGGCTCCCTTAGAAGTTTCTTCGTGTGAGATCCGAGGAAAAATTTCATCCGAGACTGCTCCCTGAATCAGCCCAAGCGCCTTGGCATCTTTCATGAGCTTCTCCGTGAGAGATGTAGTGTCACTCGATCCCTCTTTCTCCTTCATCTTCAGATCTGAATCAGCTCCCTTCGAATCTGAGCTCTCGATTCCTTTTTCCACAAATTCCCATAGTCCATAAGACTTAAAAATGGTTTTCATCCTTATACTCCAGAATTCATAATTCTCGCCGGTGAAGATCGGCGCTCTCAGCTCACCTCATCCAGATCCTGCCATGTTAGACACAGATCTCTTCACAGATTCAATCTCCCAGATTAAACGATTGAACCTGGCTCTGAGGCCATGTTAGCAATCAGGAATGTGACCCTGTTTTGTAGAAATGAAATCAAGAAGAAAATGAATGATCTCTTCCTACACAGATGAATGCAGCTAGAACGTTCAAAGAGAAAAACCCGAACTAACAAAGCTTTTTCTTCATTCATGATCTGCACACAAGTCATGTGCAAGGATATACCCGAAGAGAAGAGAATTCACACAAAACAATCACAACCCTTCATGTAATCTATCCTATAAGATAGATACAAGTGGCAATATGTTAAACTAAAACTAAGATTACATCTCAGCTGTCCAATTGGTCTATAATCCAATGGCTCACATTTAAACTTAGAAACAATAAGAAAAACACAGCACACACACTTATATTCCAACAATATATTGTTCAAATCCCACCTACCAATGATCAGAAATGTGAGAACACATGAGGTTAATGTTTTTGTTTGACCTAAAAAACGCAACGCTCACTGCTACCATTCACATTTGGAGCTACTGTTCGGTTTTCTAAGGTTAAAGATTTAAGGACAACTTCAAAGAAGTCCTTTGGGTTTTGGACAGACATAACGGGGTAGTTTGTGTTCAACGCGTTTATATTTCACTTTCGAATTATCCAGTCCAATCCATCCTAGCACACGTCTGCCCTTGACCGACCTTTTATGAGCTAGTTAATCCGATTGTAGCACCAAACGAATCCACAAAATTCTGTGACTTGCAAAATGTCTTCAGTAGGAAACAATGACAAAACCACTTAAGTTCTGTCATTTTCTCCTTTTTCCCAGTTTATTTGAGACCACATAACTTGCCGTATACACAATTGTGGTTCGAAAGGGTCGCTCTAAGCAACAGTTACACTGCCGGGTGGCCCTAGATTGGCCTTGCATTTGCCTTCAGACGCACAGACTGGCATGGTCTGCATTTTTTGTGTATAGTAAGAACATATACATTTGTCATCGATAATTGCAATGGAAACTTTTGCCGCCAAACTTTTTGTGAAATGTAAGAAGGAACAAATCGAATTATGGAGAAATTATCTTCTGCTCACGTAAGCAATTGCAAGACAAGCTTTACCGGGAAGTTCCTGGTAAACAGAGGAAAGTCCAAACTCGATAGAGAGTTCAGATTAACAGCACAAATTAACTTCCCCTTGTTTCTCTAAAGAGAAGAACAAAAAAAAAAAAAAAAAAAATGGCTACAGTTACATACTAACACAAAACAAATTTATATCAAGTTACAACCTAGGACGGTGTCGAATCATTAACCGAACAAATTTCTAGCTCCGATGTGGGATTAATTTCTTCGTCTTTGTTCGTTCTTGGATAGATTATGTAACATTTGCGTTAACATTAAAAAATTTGAGTGTGAACAAGAATTAGAGATGTGATGTCGCGGATGGCGTTCGGACATGGTAGGCCATAAGACTTCAGTTGCGTTCGGTCAATATATGCCGGACATTTCGTTTAATTAGTTCAGTCAAACTCTGCCGAACTTTAATTGAAATTCGGTGGGGTCTGCCGAACTCTTATACGGCCTAAGTGAATGTTAATTCACAACGTAGGGACTACTTTTCCTACCAGAAGATCATCCGCTGTGATAATATAGTTTTCCATCAATAAACGCATTCATCCACAACATGTTAACATTTAGCCCTTAAGTTTTCCGAGTAGAGATAGATTAATTACTTAACATTTACCACTCATCGGGCTACAACTTCAGAGATTGTTGCATCATTGATGGAACAAGCTTCTAGCCGCGGCGTGGGATTAGTTTCTTCGTCTTCTTTTCTTTTTGAGAAGGCTGGAATTTTGGGATTTTCCATTGTAGCTCCTTCATTTTGTAGCATTGAAGAAATTTCCAACATCGAAGGCCTATCGTTTGCATTTTCTTGAACACATAGGAGAGCAATTTGCAAGCATCTCATCAATTTGCATAAAGAATGTGTATCGTCAAGCGCATGATCCATAAACTCCATCCCTTTGCCTTGTTTCCAGAGTAAATATGCCTGAAATCGTTGAATGTTTCATGCCATGTAATTGAAACGCAAAGATTTAATTCGTAGAAAAACCGAAGTAAATATCAATTCTGAAGTAACTGTGGTGATTGAAGAAACTTACATATTCTAGTAGGTTTAAGTCTTCATCTGAACCATAGTAGGGGGGCATTCTTCTTGCCACTTATGATCTGTAGAAAGAGAACTCCGAAGCTGTAAACATCTGATTTAGTGGAGTATAAACCCTTCTTAACGTATTCCGGTGGTACGTAACCACTGCATAGAATGATTTAGAAGAATTACTAATTACATACGTAATGAATTAAGCTCAATTAGAGAGTATAGCTTCGATAAGAAATAGAGTCACGTACTATGTTCCAACAATTCGACCTGTATTTGCTTCGAGTTCCTCCTTTGCGAAAATTCTGGCCATACCAAAATCCGAGATCTTAGGCCTCATCTCCTCATCAAGTAAAATGTTGCTAGCTTTCAAATCGCGATGGATGATTGTCAATCTTGAGTACTCTTGGAGGTAAAGAAGTCCCTGAGTAACCCCTTCGATAATTTGAACCCGCTTTCTCCAATCCAATTCATATCTTCTAACAGGATCTACATTTAGACAGATATTTTCCAATCAGTTCTGCATTGAAATGTATCAAAAAATGCATGGGTCATTAGAGACAGCATACGAGGATTAGATCCTAACAAGCTTTTCATTATATTTAGCTTAAAGGTTTGTGGCACAAAACACAGTGAAATCTCGTATAGAGTTACCAAAGAGGTAGTATAGAGTTACCAAAGAGGTAGAGGTCCAAGCTTTTCTTTGGCATGTATTCGTATATCAGCATTTGCTCATGGTGTTCGATGCAAAATCCCAAAACCCTAACAAGATTTACGTGTTGTAGTTTTGCGGTGAGCATGACCTCGTTCTTGAACTCCTCAAATCCTTGAGTTGAAGCTTTTGATAGTTTCTTCACAGCGATTTCTTGTCCATCTGGCAATACTCCCTAGTAGTTAAGCATACAATCATGGTTAGCAGCATGTTTAATGGTTTTGAATCTTCCAGTAACATGCTTATTATAAAAGTTTACTACCTTATAAACGGGGCCATAACCGCCCTCTCCAAGCTTATTTTCAATCGAAAATCCATCCGTTGCCGCCTCAACGTCAGCAATGCTAAATATTTTCAGATTAGGAACGTTGCTGTTGAATTTTCCAGCTGTGTCTGCTATATCATTTGCCCTGGATTCTGATTCCTTAGCTGCATAATTTTTAGGAAACAAAATGGTTAACAGAAAAGGTCCAAAATACTAATCCTAAAACGTAAATATTTATAGCTTCAATACTTTAGGCCGAATAAAAAAAGAAAGAAAAGAGGTCCTGCACAGAGACAGACTATAAGCTATATACCTTTTGATTTGTGCAGTCTCATGCGGAAGTAACTCAACGCAGAGCCTAGCACGAGAATAACTGAAGCTACAGTGGTCAAAACGATTAAAAGAAGTCTCCGTTTGTTTCGTCCACTGCTTCCACCCTCTTGAGCTGTGAACATATAAAATTCGTCGTTACAAGTCGGAAGGAATGCATTGCTGGGAAAAGTTTCGACGTAAACGTCCAAGTTTTTAAGTTGGATGTGACTTATATGGTTATCTTATTGATTAGTTTAAACAATCATATTGTTAATCTTCATTCAACAAACAAAACCAAATATTTTATTGTCCTGTCTTGACTGCTAATTTCTGACTTTTTTCAAATAACCATGCAGAAGCGTTTGTACACGCTTGTTTATTTCGGTCCATTGATTCTTCTTTGATTCACTCAATCCAAGGGCCAAAAACAAACAGAATGTGTGTGTGTGTTGGGGGGGGGGGGGGGGGGGAAGAAAATGTGTGCGAAAGTTGCTTTCTTTTTCGTACCTGCAGCTGCAAGAGAAAGCACCCAATTATCATCCTGTGAGACCTGCCAGATGAAGTATCCAAGCAAATTCTGCTCCTTAGCATAAGAAACTTTTATTTTCACAACTTCAGCATCATCGAAACAGATCCAAACCGAACCAATCACACAGTACTTCGCTACATAAGTAGTATTGTAGACTATGTCAGCCCCATGTCTATCAATGTAGCGTTTGATATGCTTGTAGCTCATCGATCCATCCTCCGTCATATTAGCAGGACCTTTAGCCGGTGCGCCAATAGCGCTGTCCCTAGGATTGCTTAGCGTCCAAGCATATCCATAGAAAGGCAATCCCAAAACCAGTTTGGAAGCAGATAATCCCCTGCCAATCCATGATTTGATGCCATAGTCCGTACTCCAGATACTCGATGGATTGTATAGTGCTGCATGAGCACCAGTGACATTGGTCCACCGAGGTCCGTAATAGTCATAGGCCAAGACATGTACCCAGTTCAAGTTGTCCCGGATTGATTCAACCGGGAAAGCGAAGGACTCAACATCTGGCTTGTAGTGCACGGCAGCAGTCAAAATCAGTGGTGTTTGGCTGTTTTTTGCGGCTTCAGAAGCGATAGCTGCCCTCCACTCTTCAAATAACTTCCCCATGTTGGTCATGTCCGAGCTTGTGTTAGCTGAAACCCAACAAAAGTCTAGGCCTAGGAAGCCATAACGCCTTGCGAAAATTATCGAAGAATCAATGAAAGAATTTCTGTGAGAAGAGCTACTGAGCATGGTTGAAATGACACCGTAGTCTGCGTTTCCACCGCCAATGGAGACGAGAGTAGTGACTGATGGGTTCTTTCGCTTGACGGTTGGCGTGAAGGTGGAGTAATACTGCTCCGAGGAGTCGGAGGAGGAGGAAGAGAGCTCATAGGATGATGAGTTAACATCTTTGTAAGCGTAAATAAGGTGAGTGAAGAGCGGAGAGTTG